TTTAGGGGGGTTTAGGGTTTAGGGCCATGTTATATGTATCATTCTACACAGTAGTATACTTGTTCGGATCGATGGGTTGCTGCTAGGGTTTAGAGTTTACAGGTTGTCTTGACAAGAGCGCATGCAGGTGACTCACAGATCCTACTTAACCCTAAACCCTAAACCCTAAACCCTAAACCCAAAACCTAAACCCTAAGCTGCATCTGCAGTTTGAGGTTGAGGGGGCCTTGAACCTTAGACCCTACTGCCCTAGTGTAGGGGCCCTTAATAATTTGAATAGGGTTTTGGGGGGTTCCTTATTATAATTGTAGTATTATAGTCCCCAAACCCTATTCTAACTGTTACCTGTGACCCCAAACCCTACAAAATAGTAGGTTCTGACCCCCCTAATTAGAGGGTAGAACATTGAAACGGTAGGTTTTTGGATTCCGAGGCAAGGCCCCTGTATTAAACCCTCAATCCTAACCTTCAGCCTTAGACCCCAAGCCCTACATGCGCACACGCAACGAACAGGGCCCTTAAAGAAGAAAAGCAAGGGTTTAGGGGTTTAGGGGTTTAGGGGTTTAGGGTTTAGGGTTTGGGGTTTAGGGGTTTAGGGGTTTAGGGGTTTAGGGTTTAGGGTTTAGGGGTTTAGGGAGGAGGGCCAGCGCTCCATTATCTTCCGTTGCCTGGCATTCCAGGCTTCGAAGTCCCTCCTCCTGGCACCCCAAAGGTCCTAAGTACCTGCATGTGAGATACTTATACCCAAAATAAAAAAGTAATCGTAATTCGTATTACGGAAACCATACTTCCTACCAAGTTCTTGGGAAATTTTTGGGCACCTAATAGGGTTAAGGGTTTAGGGGTTAGGGTTACCCTACGCTCTAGGATTGCGCAGATGGCAAAACAGGAACGCCAACGACAACACAACACTCCGTTCACTAAGCTCTAAACCGGAGGCCATTAACCCTAAAGGCCTTTTTACCAAGAGCCTCAAGCAACAAAGCTCTGCTCCCAAGGTTTTCGGCTTCAGGGTTTAGGGGTTTGGGGGTTATGGGTTTAGGGTTTCGGGTTTACTGTTTTAGGGTTATGGGTCCAGGGTTTAGGTTAACCCCTTAACTCTAAACCCAACCCTAAATCCTAAACCCTAAACCCTAAACCCTAAACCCTAACGGGTCTAGGGTTTTTGGGCTGAGGTTTTTGGGGGTTTTGGGGTTTAGGTTTGATTGAAGCCCTGGCCCTGCAAAGGCCCGAACAGCGCCTCCAAAGCAAGCTTGCACACAAGCTGGCCGAGCTCCCAGATTTCTAGGGTAATGTAGGGGCCTGAATAATTAGAATAGAGTTTTGAGGTCCTTTTATGGCATAATCATACCAAGGAACCCCAAAAATGGTATAGGTAATTATTAAGGCTCCTATATTACTCCAGGGGTTTAGGGCTTAAGGGTGCGAGAAGGGCAAAGGTTCTTTTGGTTCTTTTGAACTGTTGCTCAAAGGGGCGCTACATCACGTATTTTAGGATTTGCCCTCACATGTAAGCACCGACAGCCCCCCTGATTGATTGGTATGTCGCCTATGTATCTTTGTATGACATTGTGTATATATATATATATATATATATATGTATTTGTTTGTATTTATATTTATATTTCATATTTTTTATTTGTTTAATTATTCTGGTGTATGCTAACTCTTGCCGGATCCATCATATCCCTGCCCACTGGACGTACCACACAGCCTCCAGTGTACTCTCCTTATACATATATATATATATATATATATACACATACCCCGGGTTTTAGTTGTTTCTATGGGTTTAAGGGTTCAGGGGTGTGGATTTAGGGTTACAGGTTTAGGGTTTAGCACATGTAACCTTGCGGCTCAGGGATTCGTTTGCTTTCGGGATCCAGGTGTTAAGCTTTACAGGGGTTATGAAAGGTTTAGGCTTAGGGTTTAGAGGTTATGACAGGTTTAGGATTTCTGCGCGTTTGTGGGCCAGGTCGCAGGCATTCGGGTCTGATGCGGAGTTTATTTCAGAACAAGCGCTGTGATAAATCACAACATCCTAGTTTAGGGTCCACACACGTCCACATTCTAAACAAACCCTACCTGGTCCCTGAAAGTATGTAGAAAAAGGGCCCTTTATGGGTTCTGGGCCATTATTTCACCTACCTTTGGGGGTCTAGGTAAACCCCAATACGTGACTCTAACGCCTAGCCTAAACCCCTAAACCCTTAAACCCTACATCCTAAACCCTAAACACTAAACCCTAAACCCTAATCCCTAAACCCTAAACCCTAAACCCAAAGCCCTAACCCCTGAACCCTAAACCCTAAGCCCTAAGCCCTAAACCCTAAACCCTAAACCCTAAACCCTAAACCCTAAGCCCTAAATAGTGCTTTGATGCTGTAGGTTCTCTCCGAAGTTCGACATGGCAGGCTCGGCCTTCTTGGTTATGGCTTTAGGGGCTACCGCTACGCCCTTGCAAGGATTTCGGGTAGGGTTTAGGGTTTAGGGTTTAGGGTTTAGGGTTTAGGGAATTGCCGAGATTCGTTGGTGGACTTTGAGGTGTAGAGTCTTCTGGAGACGGGTTGCTTTTCTATTCCTTCTTGTCATCCTTACCGTTGTTACTATGGTGAAATCAAGCGGTGGTGCATCATGGCTGCTGCTTGCTCGGTATCGTGCAGCGGTTCACTTCCTATGCAGAATTCTCCAGCAGAGTTCCGGTTTTGCAGTATGTGGGCCGCGGTTGTAGGAACAAGTGCTGGATGTGTGGATGTAGAGAGAATTCTACCAACAGCGACGATGCAAGCAGCAATAGCAGAGCCACGACGACTGCCACTTAATGACTGCTGCTACTGCCGCGACTACTTCCTTTGCCGCTTCCAGTGCCGCTACAACTACAAGGGCCGCCTGCCACTTCTACTACCACTGCACTTTACCACTACCACTACTTCCGCCGCTGCTGCTGCTGCTGCTGCTGCTGCTGCTGCTGCTGCTGCTGCTGCTGCTGCCTTTGCCGTCACCTGCACCACCACCGCCGCCATCGACATTAGGATGGTGATCATTTTTGGTAGCAACGAGAACGACAGCATAAGGGTAAAGGGGTACCACGAACAACAACGTTGTGTCAGGTTTACGCCCGAGGTGAAGATCCGAATACAGAGCTTTTCTTGTTGCTCCTCGCTTCATACGTGAGACTACGCCGCCGTGGCCGAGTTACCGTTGATGTGACGCTTCATGATCCAAGACTTCCCAACCTTGGTGTTCGTTCAGAGCCTTAGAGATGTTCGGGACTGCTGAATACATCGCCCCTATAGAATAGATTTAAAATGCTGGATTAGATCCCAAAGCCTAAACCTCGAACAACCCCAAGAACCCTATAGAATAGATTCAAACCGCTAGACTCGAACGACCCCCCAGAAGCCGGGGAGACTCCAAGTATCACAAATTGTACCTACTTATAAGTGGTACCTACTTTGGGCTATTTGGAGTCCTAGGGGACGCCGGGAAGAGCGCATTAGCTGGGAGGTGCACACGGGCTGCAGCTGGAACTGCAGCTGTTCAGGCCAAGGGTTTGGGGCTTTGGGTCTATACCTATAAGCTCCATCGTAGTTCCTTATCGTGGTTTTTGTTTAGGATCCTATAAGGTAATCCCACCAAGGAACTAGAATGGAGCCTATGGGTTATGCCCTGGGGAGGTTTTGGCCTTCTGTTCTTTCAGATTGCTCAAAAATGTCGTGTAAATCGTGGACCCTGATACCCCTAAACCCTAAACCCTAAACCGCCAAGCTTGGTGATCCACAGATAGCCGTCTCTGCACAGAGGAAACCGTCCCACTCCCAAGAGCCGCGCTTCGGGGGTTATTTACGTCGTGTTCTGAAGGTATTTAGGGGCAGAATAGGTAGCCTTTAACCCTTCGGGGCTTATAGAATCCTAGTATAATTTGAAAACTTAGCCTTTTTGGGGGCTAATATAGGGGCCTCAATAATTACCTATAGAGTACGTAGCCCCGAAGGGTAGATTGTAGAACATCGGCACAACCTGCATCCATTGGGCCACTTCTTTGCAGCCAACTTTCGGAGATTGCTCGAGTATCCGGCTAGGGCATCGATCTCCACTTGTTCAGCCACCCCAAGCTCGACTTCCTAAATGAATCCCGGCACATGCAAAGCACTGTTTGCCTACTAACTGCACTTGATCGTTCAGCTGTCTGTAAGTGGCAGCACGTAGCTTGTCCGTGACACAATGCAAAGAAAAGCATCGAAGCGTGGACAAACCTTGCTACAAAGACGCTTGATGCGGCTGTCAAGAGCAATATGTCTGGCTTCGCCGGCTACGGCAAGATCCCCCTGGGCAGCTGCCGTGCCTATGATGCAGTCTGGTTGGTGTTTGCATTTGCCTGTTTCAGGTTTACTAGGATCTTATTTGCCGGTGTTATTCAGAGGTTTCAAAGGGTCAACTTAGACTAGCTTCCGTTAGTTGGAGAGTGCACTAGCTTGCCGAAAACAGAACTTCAGGGATCTGTGTTTGTTTGGGTTACTGTGCCCATGTGTTCCCCCTTGTTTTGTTGCACAGAGGTGTAGATGAGCAACCCAGGTGCCAGCGATTCCGGGGGTGACTGGTGTGTCACGGAGAAGATCCATGGAGCGAATTTCTCCGTCCACGTAGAGAGGTCCCGGGTTTGCGGTTCAGGATTTGGGGTTTGGGGTTCGGTCGGGACAGGGTTCTCACCCTAAACTCTAACCCTGAGGTGTAGGCCCTAAAGGTTATTCTCCTCCGGTCTATGTTGTTGAAACGGTGGAAGATTTGTTTCTGAAACTTACAGGGTTTAGGGTTTTCGGAAGGTTCACCCCAGGGCTTTAGGCTTTCTGGGATTGGGATGTTAGCTTTAGCTTTTTTTGTTCGTGAGGGGATCCAGGGTTGGGTTTGATGTACCTCCCTGATATTGTATCGTGCCCACCGAGGGGTTCCAGTAAGCCTATATAAACCCCTACACCCCTATATAAACCCCCAAAACCCCTACATAAACCCCTAAACCCCTATATAAACCCCGAAGCCCTAAACGGGTTCTAAGGGGGGTATATAACCCAGTAATCCCCAATTCCCCCTAGTACTCCCTTAGGTTCCCTAAAGCTGCCTAAGGATCCCTAAGGACCCTCCCCCCTTGAGCCACCCTCCCTTAAGGATTCTATAACTCGAGCTCCTCCTTGGCTCAAAAGGTCTGGCGCGCTGCGCTGTGCGAAGCGAACTGCGTTCCTCAAAGAGCACGAGGATTTCTTCGGACATTACCGGATGCTGCTCTTCGCCTACACTTGAAGGGTTTAGGGCTGAGGGTTTAGGGTTCAGGGTCTAGGACTTGGCGCCAATCGCCAAGGTGCCACAGTTAGGGGTCAAAAATATCGACCATGCGATCCGGGCGTGCAAGTTCGAAATATGTTCAACTACTTTATACCATGGCATCTGCAAATTTCAGTATGTGAGAGGCCTATTGCTCGCAGCAGGTGTCTGAGCACAACATGTTTTATGTAGCCAGTAGATTATGTTACTAATGATGGGGATGTACTTGAAGAGCTGCGTCAGGTGCTGTTTGGTTGTTTGGGTGCGGGTTCTGGGTTTGAGGTCTGATCCTCCTCGTTGTTCGTTGACAAAGATCTTGATTTGAGCGACTATGGTTTGTGTAGATGGCAGCTTCGTTCCTCAACAGGAGCCGATACCGAGCCAAGTTCCTGGGCCTTGCGCGAGAGGTGTTCGAGAATACCGAAACTTCCTCTGTCGCGCTTTTTGGCGAGCTCTGCGGTGGGAAGTACCCACACAAAGAGGTGCCGGAAGAGCCCCACACGCGCCCAGTGCAAACTGGTGTGTGGTATAACCCCGTGGTTGAGTTTGTCTTGTTTGACATCGGGCTTTCCCGGGCGGGCGGCCGGTGCTTCATGGCCTTCAAGACTGCAGCGTGTCCCGTGATTTCAGGATGAAGAGAAATCGATAAGCGTTCGGAGAGGAAGCAGCAACAGCAAATGTCTGCCGGAATGTACGTATGTGTCCGAACTTCGTTCGATTCATCTGATAGGATTTGTCCGGAAGCGCAAAGGTGACTGTAACGTGTAGTATGTTTTTGTGACTTGAGGCTGTTCTAGTTTGCGAGAACTCAGCCCGAAGCTCACTTGCAACATTCTGCAATCCAATCTGGAGAATTCCAACGGCGTGATCACCCACAAGACAATGAACCCAACAGCCCAAATCCGGAACAGCCCGGGAGCCCTGATGTTCTAAATGCATGTCGGTGGCGAAAGCAACTGATGTTCGGTCAATTACAAAATGGGAAGCTGTGAATGGAGAATGTGGCATCTGCGGAGAAGCGAAATGGTTGTCCACGCCTTGTTCTGTTATTTCACATGTGCGTCGGGGGTGTTTCATAGCATGCGTGATTGCTGTCGCCAGCACCATACGTTACAGTCTTTATTTACCCTGTTTTGTGAGCATTGCTTCACTTGTGTTTCTCGTGTCTTCCGTGTGTATGTGGAGGCACAGAAACCATGCCCCGTTTGAGATACTTGCAAGTACCCCAAACCCCACACCCGATTCTGCGCAAACTTTGACCGGAATTTCAAAAACAAGCATCCTGTGAAGCATAAACCCTAAACTGGCCCTAAGCCCTAAACCCTGAACTTCCCTGAACCTCAGCTCTCAAGGTAGTAGAGCTGGCTGCCAAGCACAAGCTTCCGAGCGTGCCGGTGCTTCTCGTCGGCCCTCGTGGGGACTGCGCCAACTTCAACCCGAGATTTGAATCCCAAGTCTCTGCTGCCTTCGGTTTGCCAGCATCTCGCCTGAGCTTTGGCAAGAAGGGTTTGGGGTTTAGGAGTTTAAGAATACAGCTTTGAGGATTCAGGGTTCGGGCTTTAGAGCTTTTGTGCTTATATATTCTATCTATCTATCTATCTATCTATCTATCTATCTATCTATATAATTACATACTTGTTCAAATGTATATACATGCGTACACATACATTTAGCTATACATATATATATATATATATTACAGCGAAAGAGGCATGTATACATCTTTGGAGCTAGACCCTAATAGGGCCTTAACCAACTTCAAGACTCTAAAACCCGGATGCCCCGATACCATAAACCAAAAGCCCTGAGGCCCCGAAACCCTTGAGCCTGATCCTAGTTGTCAGGAGATTTTATATAAGCTCTTTCGGCTTCACTGGTCGGCATATCCTTTGCAATTTTGTTGGTTCCACAAAGGACAGTTTGGAGTTGAGGGGTCAGGGTTTGGGGGTCTGCAAGGAATGAGTATGAGAAGCTCCAATTATCAAACCCTACGGGCCCGTGGCTTCGCCTCACCATCGCTCCCTGACCCCCGCACCCTAAACCCTAAACCCTAAGCCCTATAAACCCTAAACCCCCCCTCCCCCCCCAAAACAAAAAACTGGACCAAGGCCATCTCGGGTAACTTGGCCGAGGGCGTCGTCGTAAAGCCCTGGGATCGGGAAACTGCCGCCAAGGCGATGGGTTCCTTATTTTGGGGGGGGGTTCCCAAAATAGGTTCCAGGGTTTAGGGTTTTGGGGTTTTGGGTTTAGGGTTTAGGGAGGTTTCCGAAAATAGGGGACCCTAATTTAGTACCCTAAATAGTGGGATCCTTAAACTCCCGTATAACAGTAATAACAAACATAGTTTCAAGTTAAGAAAATTATGGTAATAATAGTAGGCGATACCAAGTATCATAGTAAGACGACTGCTAGTAGCAACTATCATCAACATCGACAGTACTAGGCATGCCAATACTACGAACAGTGAGAATAGCAATAACCATCCTAATAATACACGAGGCGTTCGACTCAGGGGTTTGGGGAGGTTTGTTCTTCCACATGTCACTGTTCAAGGTTAGGACTGCAATGTTTAGGGTTTGGGGTGCGCTGCAGGGGCTAAAGTGTGTTGGCTTGGAGCGTACTGCCGATGCTACGTGTGGTTCGAGGTGCAGGTTCAGGGTTTTGGGTTTAGGGTTTAGGGTTGGGATGTGGAGTTTCGACCTTTGGGATTTGTTGTTTGGGGGTGTAGGGTTTCAATGTGTTGACCTGTTGTGTGTGTGCTTTAGGATTCAGAGCATTGGGTTTCGAGAAGATGTTTGAGTCTCCGTAAGAAGATGTAAACCAGCCGACATGATGCATGTCATATAGCGGGCAGAAAACTGAGGAACAATACCCCTTGTTATCCTGATTCAACCAAAAATCTACCGGAAATCCTATTTTGACTACTAAGGACCCCTATATTAGAACCCTCATGGCAAAAAGGCTTCCTTGTGGGAGCGATCTAAAGAACCCTTAAAGGAACCCTAGTAGCCTCTACATCGATGCAGAATCGAGGTGTTCCTTGTTCGGATATCTCGCTGAAAGCTATCTTGTAGCTGACCTCGTGCGAGGTCCTTATTCACTGGCTCAGGGTTTAGAGTTGAAGATCCTTCTCTAGACATGCTTGAAAATTGCCGGTGCATGCTTGTCTTTGAACGATTCCTTATTCTTTGTGTCAGTCTCGCCCTCTTTTCTGACGATTTCGAAGCAGAGAGTGAATTAGCGCCGGCATGGAAATGTGTCAGATGCTGCAGTTTCTTTTCGGCATGACTTCCTCCGGCCCGGACTGGCACGCTTCGCACATGTGGCGGTATGTAATGTAGGTCTGGTTAACAAACACATCGTTACGCGAGTAGCGGATTTCTTGAAACAGGCTCCCTTATATCTGAACGTCCTTATTGGAAGGACCTTGCTACTTAGTTTAGGGGTTCATACCGGGTCCTCCACAGCAAACTCAACAGACTCTAGGCTTATGTATGTTTAACCTGACCATGAAACAATTTGTAGGGCTACCCGGCATGAAGTGTCGTTGATGTGCTCGGAAGGACAGGCCCATACTCAAGGTCAAGACTCAGGACAATAACGATGTGTCGCCTGGTTGTTATCTAAGGGGCTGAATAGGTCACCTTTAACCTTTTGGGGCTTACAGACTCCTACTATAATTTTAACAGGTTAACGTTTTGGGGCTAGGGTACTCAGCCCCTAAGTTGTAGTTCGCAATCTTTTCTGAGGGATACATCGCTCCGATTTCGTGCAGGGCTCTCTGTTGAGCGTTCTTCCAGTCTTGTTGTCACACCACCAAGCCCGAAACGCGAAACCCGAAGTTGGGGCCATTTCAGGGTGTGGGGTTGAGGGTTTAGGGGTTTAGGGTTTAGGATTCAGCAACAATAAATTGAACTACGTCTGGTTTCAGCAAGTAGAACCACATTGCAGACCCTAAGCATTCGGACCCCTAACATGATGAGCCCAAATAGCAAAAGACCCCTGGCCCTAATCTCAACAAATCCAGCACTGTAGCACTGTTGCAGGGTAAGAGTTGTGTTCCAAGTCATGTGTCGGATCTAGGAGTATTAAGAGATCGCACGGTTTGCAACGGTTTTGACGCAAAGCCCTGAGCCCTAAAAAGCCTTGTAAACCCGAGATCTTTAACAGTAGTTCCTTTTTGGGATTCCCTAATAGGATTCTAAACATGAACCCCCAAAAAGGACCTACTTTAGGGCCTCTGGGTAAGGCAAAGGTATATGCTAGTTGGGTACCATGGGCCCTGCAAAACCTGGTGTGCATGCACGATGCGTGCAAGGGCCGGCTTGAGGGCCTATCAAACGTCCCACAATTCGGGTTTACCACGTTTTAGGGTTTAGGGTTTTCGGGCTGGAATCCCCACTATTCAGAGTCCGTATCTGGACTTCTGTTGACACTCCCATATTCGTGCCACATTCACGTGATCATGCCAAGATGGTTCATAGGATATAGACAACATACCTGACATCCTGCCTGCATGCCCCAAGCCGCAAATTGCCGAAGGCCTCCACCCAAAACCCAAGCATGCCATACCTTGAACTCCTCAACCCAAGACCACTGAACCCTAATCTCTAAACTGCACCCTAAACGCAAAGCCCTAAGCAGGAATTCTGCGAGGGCGATGGCTGTCCACCGGCTGCCGGAGATCCGGCCATGCGTGACTACCTCTTGGCACAGGCCTGAACCTGTGTATGGCTTAAGGGCTTCAGGTGACTACAAAGGTTCAGTTCCAGGGTAGTGCTAGGGCGAGGATGTTTTAGCATTTTGGTTTTGCATTTATTGAGTTTAATAGGGCTCCTGCTTACATCGGAGTGCACACGTGAACATAGACCGTCGTTAGCCGTCTGCAGCTGCGCAGAAGTTGGTAAGACAGATATAGCTGTTTTCTGCCGCCGGAAATGACAGAAACCCAGCAATTTAGGGCCCCTAAACCCAGGGTTCGGACCTGCCACCGTCAGAGCTGCCAGAACAAATTCTCAGCCCTGATGCAGACCCCAGCAGAGCAGGCGCCCGAAGCAATTGTTTAGGGTTTAGGGTTCAGGGCTCAAGGTTTACATAGGGTTTGGAGTTTAACCCAAAATAGCAACCTTAGATGCAGACCCCAGAGTACTAAGATCTTGGAATCTCCTGCGACGTCTTTGAGAAATCTGAATCTTGAGGGCGTCGGGTCGTGGAGGATCCAGCCTTCGGGGCTTTGGGGTGTAAAAGTGCAGCTTTAGGGCCTTAGGGGCTTTAGGGTTTTAGGGCTTTAGGGGTTTAGGGCTATAGGGCTTTAGGGGTTCAGGGTTTGAGGTTTAGGATTCTTGGCGTCTGAGGTGAAAGAGTCTACAGTTCTGGGTCTAGCAGGTTTGTGGTGTAAGAGTCTGGGTGTTTTGGAGGTTAGGGGGTTTAGGCTGTTATGCGCCTAATCTCTCGGGGACGGAAAACAGGTCAACGACAATCGGCTCGACTCTGCTGCGAGCAAGGTGGGCCGTGCTGGCCAAAACAGATTTAGGAGCTCATGTACATGTTGGGAAGAAGGAAAGAGAGAGAGAGAGAGAGAGAGAGCGAGAGAGTTAGGTAGATATGTGGAGTTGTTTGTTTAGTTGTTTATGCGTGTGTGTGTTCGTTTCATTAGGTATGTGTTCGTATGTTAATTATTGACGGGTTCATTTGTTTATTATGTATATAGATACAAAAATGAATAAATAAACATATATATATATATATGTGTGTGTTTATGTGTGTGTTACATGTAGTTGTCCATTTATTTATTTGTTCGTGTAATATTTTTAGAATAGGCATGTTATGTATAATTTTCTACGCACATCACTAACCCCTGCAACAATCAAGGTCAATTTCTTTTTGGCTAATATAGAAGCCTAAACAATCACCTCTACTATTGTTAGCGTCCCTTATATATATATATAATAAAGGAGCCCACGACCCCTTTTTGAATATTAAGGCCCCTACATTTGGGTACTCAGCTCCCTTAGAGGGGTGGCGGCAACCCAAACTCCAGAGCTCCTGCAGGTTGGGTTTCGGGTTTGAGGTTTCGGGCTTAGGGTTTAGGTTTAGGGTTTGGGATTTAGGATTTGGGGTTTAGGGTTCAGGGTTTGGGAAATAAAGGGCGTATAAACTTTTAGTTTACGTTCAAGTGAGCATCAGGTTTAGGGGTTTAAACGTGTGGACTTGAGCATGTCGTGCAGCTCCGCCACCACTTTCAGAACGCCCTCGATGGCACGAAGTAGATGCTGATTACCCTAGCCCAGAAAAGGTTACCCTTTACAATTTATGGTAGGATAAACCCTAAACCCTACACCCCAAAATGTTAAAGGTTACCTACTCGGCTGAACCCTAAACCCTAAACCCCAACAGGTTCAAGGTTACCTACTCAGCAACTAAGTCAAAGTACAAGTAATGCAGGGGCCTGAATAATTAGGATAGGGTTTGGGGACATATTGTACCACACTTAGCATAAGGAACCCCCGAAATAGCATAATTCTAAGGTTGAACCCATGGGCCCCAAGTATGGGCCCTTAACCCTGGGATCCCTATACACCTACTTTATACCCTACATGTACCCTTAAGGGTCCCTGGAAAAGCCTAAGGGTCCATATTAGGGGCCCATACTTCTAACCTTAACCCTAAACCCTAAACCCTAAACCCGAGGTACTTATCAACGCTCCTATCCTAGACTCTGGTCCAAGCCCCGGCTTCCTCACTGAAATCTCCGCCGTCCGTTGGCTTCATGATTGTAAGGGTGCGCCAAAGTCATGTAGGGGCCTTAATCGTTAGGGGTTTATAATCCGGAACCCTGCAGGGTCCTTAAGAATTCGAATAGGGTTTACAATAAGGAGCCCTAACAGTAGTACCCTAAACCTTAAACCCTAAACCCTAAACCCTAAACCCTAAGCCCTAACAGTAATCTTGGTAATTATCTAGGCTTCTGTAGTATCACGATTTGGCCTGGCAGTGTAGCCGTCATCTCGCAGTGCTGTCTGTAAAATGCGGGGACCACCCTCAAGGGTTTAGGGTTTAGGGTTTAGGGTTTAGGGCTCCAGCTTGTCCTGAAAGTGTGGCGAGGATGGAGGGCAGCGGATGTGGTGGTAGGGCACGGCAGAGTTGTCATCACGATCAAAGGGGCGTGCCGTTGCCGCCACCGCAGCTTCACTTCCTTGTAGGCATCAATCCTGAGCCGATAGGCCTAAACCCAAACCTCTAAACCCGAAACCCTTACCGAGGCCCCCAAAAGGATCTCAAAAATAGATCCCCTAATTAGGGACCCCAACTACTAAAGCGTACTTTATAGGAACCCCCTTAGGGGATCTATTTTTTAGATCCTTTTGGGGGTCTGGGTAGGGAGCCTACACAACAGCGCTCCAGGTAGGGCTTAGGCCGGTGCTCAAGGCCCACATTGGGCCGCACATGCATGGCTTTTTTTCGGGAAAGCCGGGTGAAGGATTTACGGCTGATCCGTTAGGGCTGGGGGCTTGTAACGGTTTAGAGTTAAGGGGCAGGGTTTAGGGCTTATGGGTTTAGGGTTATAGGGCTTAGGGTTTTACTTGGAGGGTCGGGGGACTTAGTAAGTAGGTTATAAAGTAAGTAGGTTATAACTAGAGTTATAAGTACCCTAACTGGAGTTACCCCAATTATAACCCTACTTATAACCGACTTACTAAGTCCCCTGGGCCTCCAAGTAGGGTTCAGGGTTATCAGGCTCAGGAATCCTCAGGCCCTAATTGCAGCTTGCTCTCACGCCCGGCCTCGATCCACCTCCCGGAGGAGAATCGATTCACCGTAAGCCTGTCAGGATCTTGCCCTAATACTTAGAGTTTAGGGTTTAGGGTATCGGTTTAGGGTTTAGGGTTTAGGGTTTAGAGTTTAGGGTTTAGGGTTTAGGGTTCAGGGTATACCCTGTACTGTCTATACGGATATGGTTTGGGGTAGGGCCTGCTACAAGCAGGACTCTAAACCCTCTGCACCCCTAAGTTGAAATCTGTTGCGCCCTTGACCCCTGCACTACTTGGAGGCCCAGGGGACTTAGTAAGTAGGTTATAATTATAAGTACCCGAACTGTAGTTACCCCAATTAGAACCCTACTTATAGCCGACTTACTAAGTCCCCTGGGCCTCCAAGTAGCATCCCTATACCCCCAAGACCCTTGGAAGCCCAGAGCCTCCAGAACCAACAAAGAAAGACAAAGCCCTGCAGTGCCTTACGCCTGAAGGATAGAATGTCCGTCTGACATAATGGCCTTTAAATTTAGAATAGGCTTTGGGGGTATATTATACTATAACTATGATGAGGAACTCCCAATAGGTTCAGGGTTTAGTGCTTAGGGTTTGGGGTTTAGGGTTGTAGGGTCTACTTGGAGGCCCAGGGGACTTAGTAAGTCGGCTATAAGTAGGGTTATAATTGGGGTAACTCCAGTTAGGGTACTTATAACTCTACTTATAACCTACTTACTAAGTCCCCTGGACCCTCTAAGTAGGCCTTTTTGGGTCCGTATTACGAGTATTACGGCCCCCTGCC